CAAGAATGATTATTACAGCACCATTTGTAAGTTTAAAAAAAGAGAGTCAGGCACAGTGGTGCATGCCTGTAATCCCAGCACTTTGGGAGGCTGAGGTGGGAGGATCTCTTGAGCCCAGGAGTTCGACACTAGCCTGGGCAACATAGTGAGAATTTGTTTCTAAAAAAATCAACCGGACACAGTGGCATGTGCCTGTAATCCCAACTACTCAGGAGGCTGAGGCAGGAGGATTGCCTGAGTCCAGGAGACTGAGGCTTTGTGAGCTGTGATCATGCCAATTCCTCGGTGACACTGTGCCACCAACCTGGGTGACACAGTGAGACCCTAACTCAAAAAAAAAATTTTTTTTAAGGAAGGAAAGGAGGGAAGGAAGGAAGAAAAAGCCCAAATACTCTTCAAGAAGGGACCAGATAAATAAATCTAAGTATTTCATACAATGAAATACAATTTAATGCACTTTTTAAAGAAAAGAGGTAATCTATCTGTGCTGATATAGAACGATCTCCAAGATAGTCTCAGACCAGGAGACAATGTTTAAAAAATAAAATTCCTGGCCGGGCTTGGTGGCTCAGCCTGTAATCCCAGCACTTTGCGAGGCTGAGGCGAATGGATTGCCTGAGCCTGTGGGTTCGAGCACAGTCTGGGCAACTTGGCAAGACCTCATATCTACAATAAATCAAAAAAATTAGTCGGGCACAGTAGTGTGCACCTGTAGTTCTGGCTACTTTAAAGGCTGAGGCAGAAGGATTGCCAGAGCCCAGCAGGTCGAGGCTGCGGTGGCCATGAGCGTGCCACTGCACTCCAGTCTGGGCAACAGAGTGAGACTCCAATTCAAAAATAAATAAATAAATAACATTTCTTATTTTATTAAAAATGTAAGACATATCTGTGCTACCTATGCTTATTCTAGAGAAGGAGAGAAAGAATACAATCACTCCTGATCCTGTCCAAAGGCAATCCCTGTTGTTGTGTTGGTGTGCTTCCTCCCAGGTCTTTGCTCTGTGTGTACGTGTGTGTGTGTGTATTTGTGTATGTGTATGTTTTGCAGGGCTATAATCGTACTGTATATTCCTTTTAAATATAACTCCGGAGCACAAGCACTTTCCCACGTTATGCTAAACTCTATAAACATCCTTTGGTTGACTGCCAGATAGTCTATGGAGAGGGCGGCCTCCTGAATGATTCTACCATTTCTCCAGGGGCATTTGAGCGGAAGGCTGGGCTTGACAGTAACAGAACCCGACCTTTCCCGATCCACACCCAGTACCTGCTGGGCATGTTCCTTGGAGCAAGGCTAGTGGGACATTTTGGTTAAACAAGTCAGGTTGCTAGGTGGACAGTAAATTAAAAGAACGCATAGGTTTGCAGAGTGCCAGGGGGAATGAGGGTTGGAAAACTGAGCTGTTGTCTCCCTGTGAAGTCACCCCTGGCAACAGTAACCCAACAGAGCCTGCTTGTGAAGATCTTAAAGGAGGCAATAAAGAACCACATCCCGTTCAAACATGGTTAAACATTTTACCAAGTGCCTGCTACGCCCACGCCAAGGGAAAGAAATTGCCATCAGACACAGTCCACAGCCTTGCAGTCAGGTGCTGACTCAGACAAAGGATGACAGTGGCGAATGACACATGCACATAAAGTTCTGATAAGAGCCTCAGGGAGTACAGAGGAGCGAGCCAAAGAAGGGTGTCTTAAAACTGTGTCTCAAGGAGTCAGGACTCTAATTTTAACAAACCCAGATATCAGTTGAAAGAGGTTTCAGGCAGAGGTGTGAAAAAGGGAAGCCGATTCTGGGAGCTTCCTGAAGGGGGGTAAGATCCATGGGACCTGGAAGATGCTTCCATCCCGAGTGAGGACTTTGAACTTTGCTTTGTAGACATGATGAGTTTTGAGGAGTGTCTGTGTACCAATTTGTTTGTTTGTGGGGGAGGGAAGGTTAGCTGAATATTTTGTTTTATTTTTCTTCTTTTAAAGACATCTTTTTCTTCTTACCACTACATTTAAGAAAAATAAATAAATAACAAAATTTTTCTCCATAAAAGTAATTCATGTATGTAGCTTCAGAAGTTAAAAATGTTTAAATACATATTTAGTATATATTATATACTTTTATATTATTATATATAACAGATATTTATATTATATTTTGTATATTTATAGTATACATTACAGATATTTAATACACATATGTATTAAATCTCTCTCTCTCTACACACATACACACACACACACACACACACACACACACACACACACACACACACACGACAATCAAAGTCTCCCCTAACAGCACCTTCTTCCCCAGAGAGAATCATCAACTATTGGATACAAATTTCTCCTTCAGTTTTTGCTACACTGATATGGATATATGTGTATATATATTTTTAATAAAAATGGAATCATTACATTTCAACTTGTCTTTTACTTAATGACATATTTTTAAAGTGCTAACATTTTTTGTCTTTATTATGGACAAACACTGTACCAAGCAAGAGCTTTTCATGGATTTTTACACATACACACACACACACACACACACACACACACACACACACACACACACACACACAGTTTCAAAGTCAAGTCACATAGAAACATCATCTTTGTTCCAATGTAAACACAGTACTCTGTGAGACCCAAGATCTCTCATTTAAAGAGGCCCCTCTTGGTGGACAGTTTTACTGCTCTCTCTGGACGGGTGTGTATTTCAGAGCTGCCTTGGAAAGGAAAAGGGATAAGTGGAAACCTGCCCCTTCAGGGGCCCCAGCCCCCGAGGAGACCCACAAGGCCATTTCTGGAGCTCCTTGCCTGAGAGCAACTTCAGCTAGAACTCAGCCCTGAAAGGAAAAAATTACTCAACCGTCTCCAAGAACTAAAATAATTAATTTTCAAAAAACAGATGAATTCAGAAGTTATAGAAGAGTGGTTTTAATTTCAAATCCCAAAGGGGTAATAGACATTTTGCTTATAGTACTAACAGATACTTAATACTTGTGAAGGTTAAATGAAATTAAATAAAGATAACATTTTTTTTCCTAGCAGTTATTAGGCCAGGTCCAATCTTGCTCCCGTTCCCCCCACCAACACCAGTTTTGCCATGGTATGAACACAAATCCTTAACAAAATAAGTACCTAGCCAGGCTCGGTGGCTCAGCCTGTAATTCAGCGCCTTTGGAAGGCTGAGGTGAGTGGATTGCCTGAGCCCGCGGGTTCGAGACCTGCCTGGGCAGCGGGACCTCATCTCTACAATAAATCAAAAAATCAGCCTGGCGTGGTAGCGCATGCCTGTAATTCCGGCTACTCGGAAGGCTGAGGCGGAAGGATCGCCGGAGCCCAGCAGGTCGAGGCTGCGGTGGCCGGGAGCGGCCACTGCACTCCAGTCTGGGCGACAGAGTGAGACTCCAACTCAAAAAAAAACAAAAAACAAAAAACAAAAAAAAACAAAAACAAAATAAGTACCTTTTCCTCAGTCCAGAATAGAATGTTCAACCCTAAGCAATGGCTTTTTTACCACTACTAACATGAAAAACCACATTTGTCCTGATACACACATATACAGGGGTAATATAAAAATATTTCACTAAAATTGGACAAATGCGAGGTAGAGACCTTCCACGGTGAGTTTTTAAGCAGCAAACAAATTTGAAAAAAGGTAGTCAATTCTCACAGTCAACAACAAATCGTTGGTGCATATGCTGAAATGTGGGAACAGAATGGGAAGTAACATTTACTAGGTACCCACACTGTGCAACACACAATACTAGGTATTGTTTCCAAATAATGATTAACAAGAATTTAGTTTATCCTTCACAGCTATAACCCCACAGAAGGGCTATAAATGTAAAATGAGATCATTTTTTCAGTGCTCCTAAAACATATTTCTAGCAAAGTATTAGCTTACTGTGCTTTTTTGATGTCTCTGATGGACAAATGGGAAGACTCTTAAGTCTGCAAACAACTGTTGTTTGCCTCTCTGTACTCAGTGCACAGCCAGTGACAAATTCAGAATACGTGATAAATAAATGCAGGTATCATGTCATCAAATACCCAGGCTGGTACCTACCAAATTATTTTACTTTTCAATAAAAGTATGTTACTAAATAAACACTTTTTTTAAATTAACAATGGGTATACCATGAGAGGCTGGTTATCAATAGCCAATATAGTCACCACATTGATGTATGCAAATAGGAGTGTATTCCCGTTTCAAGAAATTAGATCTTTGCACTTTGCAGAATTCTCCAATTTTTTAATTCTATTTTGTTCTTTTTCTTTTTTCTTTTTTTGAGTCAGAGTCTCACTCTGTCAGTCAGGCTGGAGTGCAGTGGTATGCTGACGGCCACTGCAGCCTTGACCTGCTGGGCTTAGGTGGTCCTTCCACTTCAGCCTTCCAAGTAGCTGGAACTACAGGCATGCACCACTAAGCCCAGCTAATTTTCCTTGATTTATTGTAGAGACGAGGTCTTGCCAAGTTGCCCAGGCTGGTCTCGAGCCCGTGGGCTCAGGCAATCCTCTCACTTCGGCCTCCCAAAGTGCTGGGATTATAGACGAGAGCCACAGCATCCGGCCTCTGTTTCATTTTTAAAAAAAATATTAGGGCACTGGCCATAAGCAATTGATATATCACTCAAAGTTATATGTGCGAATGTGTATATGCCTATGTTCAAGAAATAAGATCATTACAATCTGTAGTGCTCTCTGATATTTTCTATTTTTTTCTGTTCTGTTCCATTTTCTTAAAAAAAAAAGTTGGGAAAGACTCAAGACTCACTATAAGGATTTCACAACCCAAGAATGAGGCCTAAGCAGCAATTTGAAAAACACTGCTCCATGGTAAATAAAACTTGTTTTAAGCCAACAAAATCCTCCAGGCTTAACAAGCATATCCTCAGATCCAGAATACAGAGCACTGGTCAGTGTTTAAAAACACAGGGAAGACCCCGAGCAGCAACCCCAACCCTCCACCCCTTGTAGGGAGGTGGAATAGGTGACTCACTCACTTTGAAATGGAAGGAGCTTGCTGGGGACCCGCTGGACCCATACCGTTCACTTTTCGTTAGGTTGCTGTAGTAGTTATTAACCTTGGAATTGACATTCTGGTTTGACCTGGGATCGTCAGTGATGGGGCAGATGAAGTAACCCTCTTCATCGTCACTGTCTGCATCAGAATCACCATCATGGCCAGTCCGGGAGGACTGGCCGCCATCAACGCCTTCCAGGCGGAAGATGAGGTCTTCATCTGCCATGTTCTTGGGGTGTCCGTTTTACCCGAGGGGTACACGGTACAGCCAGAATTACCGGGCAAGTGCAGTGGTGAAGGTCCTGCAAGGGAAGCAAGAGCCAGAGAGTGGGTGCTGGGTCCTGGAAGGTGAGAGCTTGCTGGGCCCCTCACCCCAAATACCACTGGTTATAGTAAGAGTTAGCACCCTCGGAGTAAAACCTAGAGCTATCTTTTAGGGAGGCAATTGGCAGCATTCAGGAACATTTCAATGTACAAACCTGTCGATCCAGTAATTCCACTTCTAAGAACTCAGCACTTGGAAATGCTGGAACAAGGTAGGGAAAAGAACTGCTTCTTAAGTAGCCAGAGTGCTCTTATAATAAAATTCAAACGCTTTGCTAAGGCTACAAGGGCTGCATTCATCTGGCGCCCTGCCCACTTCTTCTCCAGCCGCTCTCCAGGCACACTGGGTTTCTTTCTGTTCTGTGAACACGTCAAGTTCATTCCCAACTCCAGGCCTTTGTACTTGCTGTTCCTTGTGCCTGGATTCACCTTCCTGCTGTTGGTTCTTTCTCATCATTTAGATCCCAGCTCAAAAGACACCTCTTTAGAGAAATCTCTGGATCCCCAAATCAAAGAATCGCCTCCCCCAAATGTATATCCAGTCACTTCCTAGCACATTACCCTGTTTCAATTTCTTCATAGTATCTTTTTTCTAAGCAGAAATCATCTCGTTTACTTTGTTATTGTACATATACCCAGCGCCTCAAAGCGTGCCTGGCACAGAGAAGTCGTTAAATAGTACATTTTTCCAGAATGAATGAGTGCCCCTAAGAGTGTTCTCTGCAGCAGATCAGTAACAGTAAAAAAAATGCCAATAGAGGCTAGTTATATAAATTACAGGACTTCTTTCTACACCATAATACTGTGTGACTACTGGAAAGAGGAAACTCCGACAGCCACAGACATGCAAAGATAGTTGAGAAAATTCAGCAGGACTGTAGGGTACAACACTCTCATTTACAACCAGTTGATTTTCAATAAGGTGGCCCGAGATAGGTCAATGGGGAAAGAACAATCTTTTCAACAAATGGTGCTGGGATAACTGAATACCCACCTGCAGATAAGTGAAGTTGAACCCCTTCCTTACACCATACACAAAAGTTAACTCAAAATGGATTAAAAACCTAAATGCTGGAGCCAAAACTCTGTTAGAAGAAAACATAGGAGAAAATCTTCATGACCTTGGGTTAGGCAAAGCCTTCTTTGATATGACATGAAAAGTACAGGCATCAAAAGGATAGATATACTGGACAACACCAAAATACAAAACTTTTGTGCTTCAAAGGACATCATCAAAAAAGTGAAGGGGGCCAGGCATGGTGGCTCACGCCTGTAATCCCAGTACTTTAGGAGGCAGAGGTGAGAGTATTGCCCGAGCCAGAGATTCGAGACCAGCCTGAGCTAGCGAGGCCTCGTTTCTACAATAAATAAATAAATAAATTAGCCGGGCGTGGTGGTGCACACCTGTAGTTCCAGCTACCTGGAAGGCTGAAGAGGAAGCATGCCACTGCACTCCAGCCTAGGCAACAGAGTGAGACTCCAACTCAAAAAGAAAAAAAATAAAAATAAAAAAAGTGAAGGAGCTAGGTGCAGTGGCTCACTTCTGTAATCCCAGCACTTTGGGAGGCCAAGGTGGGAGGATTGCTTGAGCCCAGGAGTTTGAAACCAGCCTTGGCAACATAGTGAGAACTTGTCTTTACAAAAAAAAGAATAAAATAAAATAAAGTAAAGTAAAATAAAATATAAAAAAAGTAGCCAAGCGTAGTGGTTCATGCCTGCAGTCTCAGCTACTTGGGATGCTGAAGTGGGGAGGGTTCCCTGAGTCCAGGTGGTTGAAGCTGAGGTGAACCATGATTCACCTCAGCTGCACTCTAGCCTCAGCTATAGAGTGAGAACCACTGCACTCCAGCCTCAGCTATAGAGTGAGAACCCAACTTCAAAAAAAAGTGAAGAGACAACCCACAGAACGGGAAAAAAGTTCTATAACATATATATCTGATAAGGAACTGTATAATGAACTCTTTCAACTCAACAATAGAAGGACAAATAACCTAAATAAAAATGGGCAAAGGGTTTGAATAGACCTTTTCCAAAGAAGATATACACACGGCCAATAAGCACATGAAAAGATATTCAACATTATTAGCCATTAGAGAAATGCAAATAAAAGTCATATCCCTGAAGTGGAAATAATTTTAAACATTGAAAATAACAGGGGTGGGTAAGGATGTGAAGAACATGGAACACTTATACACTGCTGGTGGGAATGTAAAATGATGCTGCTGCTTTAGAAAATAGTCTGGCAATTTCTCACAAAGCTAAACATTGTGTGACCATATGATCCAGCAATTCCACTCCTAGGTATATTTTCAAAAGAACTGAAAACATATGCCCACATCAAAACACGTACCCAATGTTCACAGTAGCACTATTCACAATAGACAAAAGGGAAAACCACTCAATTGTCCATCATTAGGATAGATATAAACCAATTCACCAGCCAATGAATAAACACAATTTCATTATATAGTCATATAATGGAATGTTAAATGGCAATAAAAAATGAGGTACCGACACATGCTTCAACATGAAACTTGATACCATTATGTGAAATGAAAGTACACAGTCACAAAAGATGATACTTATTGCATGAATCCACTTATATGAACTGTCCAGAGAAGGCAGATCTATAGCAACAGAAAGTAGATTAAAGGCTGCCTGGGGCTGGGGGGATGGTGGGTGGTTGGGGGGAAATGAAGAATTACTGCTAATGGGTATGGGGTTTCTTCTGAGTTGATAAAATGTTCTGAAATTGTGGCATTGGCTGCATGACCGTGAACATACTAAAAGCCACCAAATTGTACACTTTACATGGGAAGATTGTAAGATATGTGAATTACATCTCAGTACCGCCAAAGTTAAAGAAAAAAACAAAGACAGTCAAGAAAAGCAGTTAAATCAAAAAGCAAGTTGCAGAAGAGCATATTATGGTGATCCTATCTGGATTTAAAAAAAAAATAAGCCAGGTACAGTGGCTCACTCCTGTAATCCTCGCACTTTGAAAGGCCAAAGCCGGTGGGCTTGGTTTAGCCTGTAATCCCAGCACTTTGGGAGGCGGAGGCGAGAGGATTACCTGAGGGCTTGAGACCCACCCAGGCAACTTAGTGAGACCTCGTCTCCACAATACATCAAAAATGAGCCGGGCGTGGTAGCGCACGTCTGTAGTTCCAGCTACTTGGAAGGCTGAGGCAGAAGGATTGCAGGAGCCCAGCAGGTCGAGGCTGCGGTGGCTGGGAGCATGCCACTGCCCTTCAGCCTGGGTGACAGAGTGAGACTCCAACTCAAAAATAAAGAAAGGCCAAAGCCAGAATATTCCTTGAGCCCAAGAGTTCAAGACCAGACTGGGCAACACAGTGAGACCTCGTCTCTACAAAAAACAAACAAAAATTAGCCAGGCTTAGTAGTCCCAGGATCGCCTCAACCCAGGAGGTAGAGGCTGTAGTGAGCCAAGATCGTGCCACTGCACTCCAGCCAGGACAGCAACACCAAAAAAAGGACATGTATACATACAAAAAAACTTTCCTGAAAAATCCATAGGGACTACATATAGCATTTGAATGGGCAGTTGTGGAGCTGGAAGCTGGGAGTTGAGGGCAAGGAAGAAACTTTATTCTATACTATTTTAACTTTTTACAAAACTGGATTGCTTTCAATACAAAAATAATGCATTAATTAAATTTTTTTAAATGTTCAGATCCAGCCAATAATTCCAGTGATCCAGCTTTGTCCATCTGGCGGGCAGCCTTGTTATTTGAGGCTTTGGCACTTTCTTGAAAGCTATAGATGCAGGAAACATATTTATATCCTAACCCAGTACACACCTATAAAATGGAAGCAAAAATTTCAGGGAACTGCACTCAGCAGTTTACTTTGTACAATGCACTCTTGCTATTTTCAGTTCTACTTGTATCTTTTGTTTTTCTTTCTGTTTGTTCTTTTTCCTTAACTCTCCACCCACACACTGATGTCTCCACCCACAGTTTTAAAATTGATGCCAACTGCCAAGTTTGTTTCTTACCCTCTGGGCAAGACTCAGTCACAGGCCTGAGTCCAATGACAGAGTCACCGGATCCTGCTCATCACCAAACTCTGCCCTGGGCCTGCTTCTCCCCACTCTCAGCTGCTCCCAGCCCCAGCAACTGCTCTGCCCTGGTCAGCCCTTGGCCAGAATCCCTGCTGACCAAGAAGGCGTGCTTCCTGGAGCTGCCAGCAGGCCTGGCCAAGCCACTTATGAGTGCCAGGGGAGGGGCCGGCACCACAGCCTCGGCCTGCAGACCTCCAGGGAGTGTGGTTCAGTGGTTAATGGAGCAGATCCTTGAGCTGGGCTGCCTGGGTGGTGGTGGGGAGGGTAGGGGGGTGGAAGGTGGGGCAAATCCTGGGTCTGTAGCTGCTGACCTCGCCAAATTAATTCATCTTACCAACTCCCCCATTTTACAGTGGGGAAAGCTGATGGGGAAGTGGCCTAGCTAAGGAAGCACAGCTAATTCACGGGAGAATTCAAACCAGAACCCCAGCTCTTGGGCACAGTCCCACCACAGACCTGACTCTCTCAGCCCTGGGAAACCAGAGGAGCTGCAGACAAGCAGCTGTGACCCTGCCTGGCACAGTGCTCTGAACACAGCGGCACTTGATACGTGTTCCAGAACCAAGCCAGTGTCATCTGTTTGATGACTTTTGAGTTGTCATAAATTTGCTCTTATGGCAGCTGTGTCAGCGCCTGCTAACTCCCCCAACAGCTGTTCACTCTTTCTTCCTTAATAACAAAACCACTGAGTTTTGACTACTCAGAATAAGGTCTACATTTCCCAGACTCTTTTGCACCTACATGTGACCAAGTTCTGGCCAATGTAATATAAGGAAAAGGATTGTGTGCAACTACAAGGAAAGGTTCTCAAAGGGAAGGGAGTGTGTCCTTCTGCTCTCCCTCCTTCCTGCTGGCTGGAATGCATATGTGATCACTGGAGCTCAAGCAGCTATT